TTTGTTTTCGTGGCAAATAAAAATATCTTCTATCATTTGACATGGTTCAGCATCATATTGGTACATTTTGGTACTCATTGTGAAATAGGAATTTTTGGGAATAATGGTAGTTTGGTTAACAGTAGGAATGGAATAAAGATGATAATGCTTAAATTCGTCTACGTGCATAAGCGGAACATGTAAGGCAAAAACTAATCGATTTTCAGAAAAATATGCTTCTACTGAAATTATGTCGTAAAGCTTATAAATATCTTTGATGTCTGAATACACCAACTGAGCTTTATTATGATTTTTGACTAATATTTGGAATATTGACTTTAATTCGTCTATCGAAATAATACTGTGGTGCAATGACCCAACTTTGGCAAATGCGATGGCATTTTCCAAATTACTAGTTATAGAGAGCAGTGTATCTAAATTGAACTTTATTTGTAATAGTGTATCCAAAATAGTAAAATAGTATGTATTGTTCCTTTGCATCTCTACCAAAGTTTGTTCGATTACAGCTTGATTGTGAACCATAAGGCTAAATGTCCTATTGTTATTTTTGAGAACTTCGTGGGTCAAGGAAATTTGCTGATTAACTGTCTTAATTACTTGATTCTGATTTTTCTGTAATTGTTCAATAGCCTGGTCATATTTTTTAGCATCGTCATCATCTAAGTTCCCTGAAATCATTTTGACAATTGATCCTAAACCATTTATCAAACCTCGTTTTGGGCGATATTGCTTTTTCCAGAATGGATATATGGACATTATTTTGTTTTTCAAATTTGACATCGAGTAAACTATATGTTGTTCTATATCTGCCAAATGTGTATCTGGAATGAATCCTAAATTATATTTATTCTTTTCTGTTTGGTCCTTGATTTCTTGAAATACTGTACTTAGCGAATTTACTTCCTTAATTATCGGCTCAAAATCTACATAGTGTAAAAATGTATGTGTTCCTATCTTTACTTTAGCATCACCTAATCTGAAGGGTAGTATACCAGGATTTGTTTTAAGGTTGGTGACCTTCACCGTGGACTGATGTGTCAGATGCACTATCAGAAGAAGTATCATCCTGTAACAAATTTTGAGTTACTTTCTTTCTGGGCTTTTTGAAAATACTTTTATGATAAATATTTCTATTAGTTTTTAGTTTTAAACCTTTGTCAGTCAGAATCTGTTCTTTTATATAGGGTGGTTTCAGCTTTTTACCTCGGGACTTCGCGTCACGTCGGTACGCTACTTTTTCTCTAGAATAGTCGGTCGGTTTTTCGCGATCTTTATTAGCTTTTCGAATAACCTTTTCCTTTTGGGTTTTCGACATGTCATAGATAAGGCTATATATTAATTTTGTCCTATTCTTGTGTTCTTGAAGGTAATTGTTCATTAATTCTCGATCAACGTCTAGATCAAAAGGATCTCTAACGTCTAAATGTCCGTTAATAATTTCAATTGGTTTTCGTTTCGTCACTGAATGTATAGACTGATTGTAGCCAAGGATTGCATAAGGCATCAAAGAATTAACATCCTTTTTTGGAAATTGCAATGCAAGAGCTCTTAAATGTTCTGTTATAGTGGAGTGGAATCGTTCAATAGGTGAATTACTATTTGAATTTTTTGAAGTTGTAAAATGTAGCTTTATCTTATGGAGTTTTGCAAACTCTTTTATTAAGGAGTTGTTGAACTCAGTACCAGAATCTGCAACAATTTGGATGGGTAAACCATGAAATGACATGAATTTGATCAAATTGTCTACAACAGAGATAGCGTCAGCTGCTTCGATTGGGAAGGCTTGCGCATATTTTGAAAAATTGTCAATTATTGTTAAAAATTTCTTATTGTTAGCTTGATATACATCTAAGTGAACAATTTGGAATGGCATTTTAGCTGTCGGGGTAATCTCAAATTCAATTCTAGGTGGATGTCTTTCGTATTTACCTCGCTGGCAAATATCGCAAGTATTGACGTATAACTTCACGTCATCATCAATGTGGGGCCAATAATATTTTCTTTTAATTTGGTTTACTGTCTCAATGATTCCTCGGTGATTAGTTTTGGTTTCGTGATTATACCTCATGATTTCCTCTTGTCTCAAAACGTCAGTAATATTTTCAAGCTTTTTACTGCACTTAACTAATTTGAACGCAGAATTTTTGAATGTATTAGATACAAGGTTCGCGAGATTTTTATACATTTCGTCGTTATGATTATCTTCAAAATAAAATGCATAAGTACTTTTTGGTACACCGTAGTCTTTGAGAAAGTGTATAATAGGAGTTAAATCACCATTAACAATATACAATGTGTATAAGAATTTCTTCGGATCCCATAAGGTTTGAAGTGTGAGTTTTCTGGGCATAATGGCTTTTCTAACAAAAATTTGGTACTTGAAAACATTGATAGGTTTTTCTTCATCAGGCTTTTGACCAGTTTCAGAAACATCATTTTGTGTCTCATCAGGGTTTTCGTAATATAGATCAGAACAGTCATACTGATTTTCACTATCCTGACAATATTCCGAGTAATAGTCATCGTAAGGGTTGTTTACAAAATTTTGATCATAAGGATCACTCTCAACGTTATGTAATTCTTGAGAAGCAAAGTTCCTTGGGCCAGAAGGCCTAAAATAATTAGTTTGGAAATTCTTATTTCTATTGATGCTACTAACACCACTCATAGGAGTAGGCCTGTAGGAAGGTCCTTGATTAGGCGGATTACGCCAAACATTAACATTAGGTCTATTGCCAAAAACTTGTGCGTTTGTTGGAAATTTTTGTGGAAGAGGATTTTGTCTAGGTTGAATCGGAACTGGTCCTCTCGGGAATTGAGGCTGATAATTGAAATTTTGCTGAGGCCTAAATTGATTCATAGGCTGCATTTGAGGCTTAAACAAATTTTGAAAATGTGGTTTGGATGGAAGGGCAGGCTGAGGTGGCTTATTGAAATTTGAATGTGCACCAGCCTTTTGTAAATATCTAATGTTATTATCTTCTAAAATATAAGCTTGAGCTTCTGCCAAATTTTTAGGTTTCATCGACCGAATCATGGAACTTTGTGGCTCCTTTAAACCTACTAAAAGTGTATGCAATGCATGACTATCATACAGTGCCTTTTTACTTGTTTTAATAGCATCAACTGTTTCATGAATATTTATATAGTTATGCAAATGATTCAGCATGGTTACAACTCTAGAATAAAACTGTAAAGAGCTTTCATTAGAATTTTGTCTAAGGGCAGTCATATCTGAAATAAGACTACTCTCGTTTCTTTGATCACCAAAATGAGCAATTAGCAAATTTTTTATGCTGTGCCAGTCTGTGGAACCGCTAAGAGAAAATACTTGCTCTGCAGCACCAGTCAATTTCGAGAAAATGCCATGCAGCAGTATTTTGTTTTGGACACATACTGTATCGTCAGTGTTCCAATAGTTATTTAATAAATCTGTACTTATTTCTAAATATCTATATAGTCTACAGGGATTCCCATCAAATTCTGGGACAATTTGGAGTAATTTTATGTCGAACTGGGGGGTACTATTTCTACTGGGGGTCGTCATTATTCTTTCTATAGTTTCGTTTGCTTGTCTTATTTCTCTACGTCCTAATTCTAAGCTTGCTATGCGATTAGCGATTTGATCTGCACTATCACCTTCGAAAGGATTTACAGGTCGGGGTGAGTCACTCATGAAAAAATAAGGATACAATGAGCACTTACTGATAGGTCCAGTACTTCATCCCGTTCTTGGCCTAGGTTCCTCAGGTGGACGTCGACTTCAACAGGACAAAGGGCACTTGTGGTCCAAATTCTTTCTTCTTTCTTCAGTCGTACCGGCTCGTCACGGAGGTTCGTGATTCCCAATTAAGAGTTCGGACTCAAGGGCTAATCGGCGAAAATCCCTTTGGGAATCCTACTGCGGACTGCGCCAATTATGTTGTCGGAACTTCAAACTTCGTTTTTAAAAAACTTTATTTGATTCCAACAATAGTTTACATGGACCGAACCGGAATTACAGTGTGTGTGTTCGCTGTGACTGAGATTGAATGACTGACTCATAATTAAGATACAATCGTTAATATAAACCAAAAGTGATGAGCTAGTAAAAAGGAATACAATGCAATTATTATATTAATTAATAAAGTGCTAAATGTCGGCAACATAACTCCTGGTTATTGTCCGAGGGAAAGCGGTAAAGGCAGCAAAGAAGTTTGGTGGATGTTTTGGAGTTGAGGCAAAGCCACAGAATGTCCTTCCGGTCTGATTCAAAAGAAATCTCTCTGGAGCAGGAAAGGCTGCTGCAGACAAAAGGCACAACTCCCCCCTTTTTTCTTAGATTGGAGTGTATCTCCTAATTTGCGAAGCTAAGATGGTTGATCGATGCAAAATCTGATCATGGTGGGATGATTAGATTGCAGGCAGTAATGAACAGCATCAACGTTGCTGTTAATCCCGAAGATGTCCGTGGAACAAATTTTATCGTGAATGTTGTTCCTCGAGTCTACCCTCCACCCGGACATTCCGAGAGTGAAGTGAGCTTAGGTCCGGAATTCTTAGTACTCGAGTGATCCATCGTCATTAATTTCTTGGTTGGGGGAATATAACCGACCGCGTAGCTTAGGTGTGGAAGTATGCGGACATTTTTAAGACTACAAAGCTAGCGAGTGGTACCGTCTTGGTCGACTTGTCTACCACCTCCTTTTGGCGTATTAATGATGTTAAATAGACCTAAAGTGACTTGTCGGACCGCCACCCGGCAATCGGTACTGAGGTATTCCTTAACGCGTGTTCAATCACTCGAAGGGGAAGAAGTTGTATACTGAATACAACTTCCGGAACAAGCATTTGCCACGGCCTCGCTCAATAGGGTAAAAACGGCCCGTAGCTTCCATAACGGTTTATTCTCAAAGTCGTACTCTAATGCTCAGAAACAGGTGCTTTTTGGGGGTTACTTTTTTCCCTTACGTAAACTTCCTTGTGACATGTAATTATACGGGAAAATTAAACATCAGAACTACAAGAAAATCCTACCTTTTATTTTCTATTACATTTACTATTACATCTAGACACATTATTCTAAAATACGTTATAAATTAGACAGTAGTTTGTACAATCGTCTATAAAATATCAGTAAGAGAACAAATTAGCATTTTCACTTTAGGAACAAAAAAAATTGTATAATAATAATTGAATATAGGAAATTCAAAAGCGTGAAGTGCCGGATGGCCCAAATTTGGAATTCTATTATTATTGTAGTCTATGTGCCAAAGTCAATAACATACCTGTACAAAAGAGTCTAACCATAGTCACTATAATATCTTTAAATACTCGGTTTAAAGATGGCGCCACGTCTAAGTCTGGTCCTCAATTATACGGAAAAACCGTCTAAGTGCCAATTCATTACACATTGCTGTATCGCAGTTTTGAGGTTCTGGCGGATTGTACACTTGTACAGAAGCCATAAGGAATAAAGAAGAAGAAGTTTTGAGGTTATAACCGTATTATTACTCGAAATGAATGAACAAATGGAAGTTGGTTCTCACTTTTTTTTCCCTTTTATAGGCTTCATGTTCTTGCATGTTCCAGTGCCGTAGCCTCAGTGGAGAACATATACTATCACTTTTTAACGATTTTTACGAAACTGTTGATATTATGGTGACAACTAAGAATATTTGTGCAATGTGTTAAAGAAGGTAAAACGGATACAAGACATAGTAGTCGAACTACCTCTCCTTGAATGCAAAAATCGAATGTCGGCTGAGAAAATTAAAAATCTTGAGGATATGCTAGAGTCTATGCCTTCAAAATATTTAAGTTGTTGGGAAAATTTGATTGACAATGCCAAGAAATCGAATTAAGTATTAATGAACCTAAAGTTCGTGTTTTTTGTTTTTTTTTGTAATAACTTTAATTGGTGCATAGATGTTTTTAAACCTATATTACTTTGGCACTTAGACTGTTTCATAGTTTTATAAGTTTGGTATTTTTTTGTAAAAGAAGTTTTCTCTATTTTCAATTTTTTGAAATGTGTATTTCAAACACTTATTACCTATTAATAAAATATTTTTCACTGCAATATACTTTTATTTATTATAAAAAACACCTTAATAACTCATCAATCACTTTTTGAGACGCTTTTGAATTTCCACGCTTCAATTGCGAAATAAATATAATATGGCAGTTTGAGAAGAAATGGCATCAGTTTAAAAAATCTCTGATTGATATAATAGCGGTAAGGAGGTCAGAAGACATTGTAATAGACTGAGAAATAGTGGTAGAGAATTTGAGCACAGACTAAAATAATAAGTATGGGCCAAATTTTAGAAAAAAAAATACGATTTACCTTCTATTGAGTTTCTGAATTATCTTGCGATGTTTTTTATTATGAGTTCCTGAAAACCTTGTCCTGTCGTCAAATAAATCCGTCAAGCAATCATAGACGCAGCTGTATGAGTCGAAATTTACCGAGACCATCGGTGCTAAAATACGAGGGCTGATCCAGAAATAGGATTCCTAAAGCGCTCCAGCCAAACTGGAAGGTGTGAGACGATACCCGGCAACACCGCTGCATGCCTTGTTGTGCCCGCCATTCTAAGCTTAGCACAGCGTTGCCAAACGTATGATAATTGTGTTGCCAGATTTCGCCTTGCGCTTTCCAGAGTGGCTGAACCTGTTTGGGGACCCTATTTCTAGATCAACCCTCGTATTAGCACTTCGGAAACATGTTTTTTTAAACCACATCGTCTTTTAGTCCAGGTAAGGAAACTATGTTATGTGTATTCCACATTTCACATTTTCTTCACATACATAATTATACATTTCGTCTAACATCCAGCTCTAAGTACAATCCTATTATCTCCAAGTTCGAGAGATATGATCTCGAAATTCTTACACATTTCAACTAACTACATCAAGTTCCCTATTCATACCATCAATAGATCTAGCGTAAACGCTAGGCTTGTAAGCTCGGAACATAAGACTGCAAAAAAATAAGAAACGTGTCACATGATCGTTTTTATTATTTATTCTGCAATCTTATTCCAGAGCCAAAAGTGTTTTGTTTGCAATACGAAAGGAAAACAAGAGATTCTTACTTATTTTTCGACTATATCGTTTCTATGAAGTCGCAATTTGAAAAATGGTTCTTTAATTTCCTAAATGGTACGATCCTTTTCTGAAAATTGAAAAATGACATCTGAGAGCATCAGCTGTGCGGTTTCTATGACGAACTTTGAATAGAAGACTTTCTACAATGGAGCAACACTTTTACACTTCTATTTCTTCGCTGAATGCTATTTCGACGGCTTCGTAGACGAGACTGAAGCCTTTGCTGACCAGAGTTTCATCAGTTCTGAAGCGCACCAGTAGAGCTTCATGGGTGGATATGATGTCGAACGGTTTCTAAAAGAAATAAAAAATACATAAAGATTATTTCCACATTACTTTTACGTAAAAGCAGTTTCTTTACTCATTTCCCAATTAACAGAAGAAAAAGGTTGTAATTGATCCCTGCGGAACTACTTATCTTAGTGATTGTTACTGCTATATGTATTTTGATGTATCTTTGAAGTACAACTCCATGAGGTAATTAAGCAAGCAAGAATGAATATGCTGTTAAAGAATCTATATCGTATAGTCTAATCATATTAGACGAAAATACCCCTGATTTGCGAAATAATTATAAAGTTTGGTTTTATTGACGCAAGTTGCTCAAGAAGGTATAAAACGGGTACATAAATTTCTGTGGGAAAACTTTTTATTCAACAACAAAGAATGAGAAACCGTGTTTTGGGATTCAATCGAGATTTTACATGATGAGATACGTAAAAAGATCCGACTAATAGCAAATAAGTTATGGCCGAAAACCTAGCCAAAATGCAGGTTTTGGCACTTGGTAATCCAATCATATCAAATCGTTCAACGATATGATCAACTAAAAGCGCGGCTAGTTCATGAAATCGTCAAGCATGTTTGATCAAATCGTAAAATAATTATATGAATTACCTATAGACGCCCTGGGAGTGCTTTTTTACATTTAGGCCCGTATCGTCAGTCGTTCCTACAATTGTAGGACGCCTTTATGGCCTCCTTTATTTTCATAGCCTTTTCCAACCTTCAAAAAGGCTGGAACATTTATTTCGAATGACCCGTGTCACCGTCAACTCTCGTCATAAAGGCGTTCTACAATTGTAGGAACGACTGACGATACGGCCCTTAAACGCGGATGTCATTAATAACAGAGTTGTGTTTCTAAATAAAAATTGTAGTAATTCGTTACTAAACGATTAAGCAATTGAAATTGAATTCTTTACGACAAAAAGATATACTCGTGTTCTCCAATATTGTACGGGTCCTCCATATCCGGATGGACTACTCGAAATGCCATGGAATTCGGAATGTGCTTCACAGGTTAGTAGTTGACCCCTAAATTACGTTATCACTCACTCTTTTGAAGACAAAATTGTGTTCCAGTTAAAATATTGTGTTTGTCTACGTAAATAAATCTCACCTTCATTTTTATTTTATTTTTAGGTCATATGTGAAATAAAGGAGATTAAGGTGACCATGTGACGTAATAACTTAATTTGTGATATCTGATATGGACAAAATTTTTATTTGTGCAACGTTTTTTTTATATGTACAATTATTTAGTTTCAATAGATATGAATGTCATACTTAACGAACAACAAACCCTATTTTACGACATGATTGGTCGTGGTTGACCAAATTGTGAAACGATGATGGTATAACAATATGATCAATCGTGGATACGCATATCGTTAAACATTGACTAGTTAACGATATGGTCAAATTTTGCTGAACGTTCTATGAAACGGTCAATTCTGCGATATGGCCACGACATTTAGTAACTCATTAAGCGCCGGGGTCTAGAACCTCAAGAAGAAAACTCAAATACTGTTGAACGTCACATATGCAAGCGATTAAAGAGAGGCACTGGGCTAGCCACCGAAGACCAGTAGACGCCAAAGCGAACTGCGACTCTGATATAAATAATTTTTTGAGCACCTCATGTGTCTCAAATTATAAATACTCCTAAAAACTCCACTCACCTTCATTCCGCAATACTTTCCATAAGTCGGGGCACTAGAATCCAGTCCACTGAAAATCTCAACATAGTCATATCCACAATCCTTCTCGTCCTCAATGTCAAACGTCAAAAATGTAAGTTTGACGTTATACCCTCCTCTAGCTTCGATTGTCCAATCACAGTCAACTCTGTTGTCATAGTTTGTGCTTCCGAATTTCGCATGCGAATAGATGTGCTGTTTTTCGAAAGTTGCTTCCAACAGTCCACCTAGGAATAAAAAAAAATTAAATGAAACTACTATAATATTGTTTCTACCGAGAGATGCTATGAGGAGCTTAAAGAGACTTTGTTGTTCCGATTTGTGATTTGCCCAAGGTTAATAGAACTGGGAAAGGCCTCCTCGGGTAGATTGTTCCATAATCTCGATACCCTAGGGACAAAAGAGCAGTCGTATCAGCCAGTTTTAGCTAGATAGCCGACGGCCCGACGCGACGGTGCGAAAGGGTTCCGAGACTGTCCGTTGGAGAAAAGTTATCGATCAGTGGGACAGCACTCCTCTGAAGAGCATCGAGCATGGATCATGTAGACGGGGGCGGCAGCACCCCAAACGTGTGAGCAGTACTCGAGACTAGGTCTTATCTATGTTGATCTAGTCTCCGACCAGCCGATATGAACGGCTCTTTGGTAGAGCTCGGCCATCCATCGCAACCGGATGAGCACTAGGACGTTTCTTGTTCATCAAGGTACAGTGCTAAGTTTTGAGAGCATTAAACTCTACCACATTGTTGCATCCCCAAGCAGTGATAACTTCAATATCTAGAGTTTGAGAGGAAGTCGCTGCCTTTTTCAGCTCACCGAAAGGGATCGGTTTGCCACTCTGAATTCCTGTATGTAGAGAGCTGTCATTAGCAAAGTTCTAGATCGGATTGATATGTAAGAGTATAGAAACTTTACAATAGATATATACAGGGTGGGCCATCTATCGGTTTCGATTTGAACCACGTGTTAATTTGACGCTGACAATACTTATGTCAATCTGATTTGTCATAAAATTCAGTATATTATCTCCGCTGAACGAAATGAATCGATTTACGCTTGAGCAACGTTGGGTAATATTGGAAATTTATTTCCAAAACAAAGACAATTGGGCAGAAATTGCACGAAAATGCCGTTCAAAATTCGGTCGCAACGAAGCACCAACAGCGCCCGGTATACGCAAGTTTATTAATAAAGTGCGTGAAACTGGTTTCATTGTTGATGCTCCAACACGTCAGCGTGCTCGTACAGTGCGTACACCCGAAGGTATCGATGCTGTGGCTGCGAGTGTGCGTGAAAATCCATCAACGTCAACACGTCATCGTTCCCAAGAATTGAACATTTCCCGCACCAGTTTACGACGAATTTTGCGGAAAGATCTCGGTATGACGCCTTACAAAGTTCAATTGGTTCAAGAGTTGAAGCCGCGTGACCATCCACTTCGTTCTGCCTTCGCTACATGGGCCAACGAGCAACTAATCAATGATGTCGATTTTGCGAAAAAAATAATCTTTTCAGACGAAGCTCATTTTCATATTGGTGGCTACGTCAATAAGCAAAATTGCCGTATCTGGGGCTCGGAAAACCCACACGAGGTCTTAGAGAAGCCAATGAATTCCTTGCGAGTGACTGTTTGGTGTGGATTGTGGAGCGGAGGCATCATTGGCCCATATTTCTTTGAAGACGGGGACGGCGCAACCGTTTCTGTCAATGGAAACACCTATCGCACCATGATAACTGATTTTTTTGTTCCTGCTCTTGATGGTATTGATGTGGAGAATGTTTGGTTTCAGCAGGATGGTGCAACTTGTCACACATCGCATGCCACAATCAACTTATTGCGCGAAACCTTCGATGGCCGTTTAATCAGTCGAAATGGTGATGTCAATTGGCCGCCAAGAAGCTGCGATTTGACACCATTGGACTATTTCCTGTGGGGCGCTGTTAAAGACAAGTGTTATGTCGACCATCCAGAGACAATTGACCATTTGAAGGCCAACATTCGTGATGCCATTGACGAGATACGGCCCCAAACACTCGAAAAAGTGCTCGAATGCTCGAATGAAGTAATATTTCATTTCTGAGCGGAACAATTGTACTTCAAAACAAAAAAATAAATTTGGCAATATCTCAAACCGTTTTTGTTTTATTTTATTTTTAAATCGAAACTTTTAAATGGCCCACCCATTATATATATATATATATATATATATATATATATATATAAGGTACCCGGGGGTAATAAGGCCCACCTAAGAAATTATAATTAATATCTACGACAGAAATTTACTTTTTCAAACTTTTATTATTATAAAAAATAGAAAAGGGTATAAACTAACATAATGGTAATGTTTGAACACAAAATAATCATGCTTATATGTCGAGACGCGAACATTATAAAAATTGTCTTCTGGGCCTTAAAGCCTGCAAGTGCATATATAAGGCCCATATTTAAATGAACAAAAAACAAGTCAAACGAATAAACAAAACACAAAAAAAATCAAAAAATAAAAAGAACATATTAAAATAATGATATCCAAACATAAATATCAAAAATATCCCTTTGGGCCTTAATATCTGCAACGACATATAATGAGATTTGATTGAGAGATAAAAAAATAACAGTTCAACAAAATACTGATAGAATGAAAAATAAATGTAACAGACTAAAAAACAGTATCAAAGATAAAATATGGTATTAAGTATAAATCTAATACTTAAGGCATACAGTCTGGACACAAAAAAATTTCAGTGTCGTCCGCAGTCAAACCAGCACAATCCTCATGGACCCAAAAACCACAAGAAGCACATCGTCTCATATCTGCTACATAGTCTTAGTAGCAAATCACACAGTGCCATTCTTCGTTATGTTCTTTTGTTTTTGATCCAATGGAAGACACAGATTCAGATGGCGATTTAGCGGTATTCGATAAGACTGGAACGGGATCAAGTTGAGACTCCACCTCCTTTAAAAATACGGATCGCTTGACTTCAACTGCTTTGTAATTTATAGCTTTACGTCTTGGAGCAGATTTTTTTTTTGACTAGATCTGGTGTTGGTAACACTTCCGCGAAGGAATTATTCAAAGGGATTAATTTTTTACGCAATTCACCTAAAGGCAGGTAGTCATCTGAATCATATTCCGAATCATCGGCAGCGGCGGTCTTCTCCTGGTAAGGTTTCTCAGTTGCAAGACTTGGGGCAAATGCTTCGATGGGAAGAACATCCTTATCATAAAGGCATATTCCCGTAGCTCGAAAGCCGCTTGTAATATTTCCAATGGACATTGCTTTCTGCCATGTAAGTGTGAAAACTTCAGAAAATCTTTCCCTGTTTAAATCACGTGTACCCACTCTCTACCAGCGAGACGAGTTTCCTGATTGAAACAATGCTTAATTTTCTTTTGCTCAACATACCTGAACACAGACTTCTTAATGCTTTTGGTGTTAGCGGAAAACCTTTATCGGCTAGCCGAATTATTTTATTCTCAAGGTCAGTCTCTTCATTATCGGTCAAAATTGTTTGTCTACCTAGTTTTCTCTTCACGCTTTGTGATTTAATGTAGTTCCTAAGTGTTCGTCTGGGTATTCCGCATTTTTGTTCCACCCAGCGCTGAGATTTTCCCTCGTTAATATAATTTAATGCCTCTCTCATCATCTCTTCATCCCAATTTGCCCTTATCCCTCTGATTGTTTACCCATCTTCTGTAAAAGAATAAATAAATCTAATGAATACGTGTATTCATGGCGGCAGAAAATAAAGCCCAAGCCTTTTTCAATGCATTGTAGAAAATAAGGCCCGGGCCTTATAACCTGTAGCAAAATAAAATTAATTTTGAGGTTATTAAATAACAAACAAACCCAACATAAAAAGAAACGCTACGTAAAATTAAACTATCAGATACATAGATTATCATGCATACATAATGAAAAATCTACGCATTATTAAAACAATTTAATTTGCTTACTTACCGGTCGAAATTCTTATAAAATACAGCACAGCGAAACGTGACACCATAGAACAAGCCAGGAAGCTCATAACCATAGAACAAAATTACATTTCCGGCAACAGTAATACTAAATATTATTAACAGATGGCGATATAAATATTTTAGGCGCTTTCCTTTGGGCAAACCAGCGTTGGGCCTTAATATCTGGTGGGCCTTATTACCCCGGGTACCTTATATATATATATATATATATATATATATATACAGTGACTTATTCTGATGTAATAAAAGATAATTTTGTGACATACCACAAACTGTCGAGTGCGTAGCCCAGAATCCATTCCTTTGTACAGAAGCATCAGATTTGAAGGTCATATACAGCTGGTTACCAGACGCCACAATCAAATGAGGCAGTTTGGAGCCACAGAATCTGCCCAGGGATGGTGATTCGGGAGATGGCCCGTCGTAAAAGTCAACGTGGTCGTAAGAACATTCTTGGTGCGGTTCTAGTTCGAATACCTGCGAAAGAAGTGAGTCAGTAGTTAAAATTTTCCCATCTAGTGATTTACAACCAAATATGCATCTATATTGCTGCCAGATTACTGACTTATAAGAAACGTAATACAATGTATGCGAGAGAGGCGAGTAGACTCTCACCTACTACTTTGCCAGAATCGACAGCATCACGCGGTTACAGTAGTTACTCGGCCATCGTTGAGGTTATACCTCAGATAGAGGACACTTTGCTTTCGTCCGTTGTCTTACCCAGAGACCAAGCCTAAACCGTGTTGTTGAGTTGTCAAAACGAACAGTTGTACACGGTTCGCCCCCTTTTAGTTGAACGGATGCAAGCAGTACTATCAGTTTCTAGATTTTTTGTTTTCAACTTACCTGGAAAGCGATCCTAATTCTATGACCCGGAGTAGTAGCAAAATGCCAAACGCAATCCTTCCTTGAAGGATAGTAATCAGGATAATTAGGGCTTCCAATAGTTCCATAGGGAGTTGAAATTTCATATTTGCAACCTCCCTCTTTGCAATCACGCCCATTTTCGTGTAAGGTATATCCATTGTGACACGTGCAAACGTAGGAACCAAAAGTATTCTGGCATTCATGCTGACATCCACCTTGGTTCACCGCACATTCGTCCATATCTGAAAACATTTAACTGAAGAACAAAGGTGGTGGTAGGGCTTCCGAGAATTTTTTTTCATGAAAGTAAATTTGTAAGCTATTTACGAGTATTTATGTTTCATTGTACATAGTGCAGTTTTCAAGTATAAACAACAGCATTTTCCAATGTTTTTGATTGAACAAAATATTAATATTTTGCCTCAAAAAATATATTTTGAATGTTTTCATTTTATTCTGTGAACGAGAATTGGAAAAACTTGCCCTCCACTTTAAAATATGTTTTTCAAACATATGCGCAGAAAACGAGCATAAACTGCATTAGCCTTAAAAAGTGGATGTCAAAACCACATTTTAGCCATATCAATTTCGTTTAGATGGAAAATATTTCATTTGTCTCTTCGGTACTATGCCGCTCTAGCTTTTTTTTAGACAATTTTAGAAAGCTGAGGTGTCAAAATTGTAGAAATCTTACCAGTGAAAAATACTGCCGCAAACCCAGTCTTCTGCACACTAGTATCCGAATAAAAAATAATCCTCATGATATTCCCTTCAGATGTAATCAAAGCTGGTGGTCTAGGTCCACAATACGATCCATGCTTTTTCAATTTGTCCTCTTTCAAATAACTGTAGACATCCACTCTGTCATACTCGCATTGCTGTTGAGGACCATTATTGTTTCCCTCTAAATCAAAATGAGTGAAATTGAGGGTGATCCTGTATTGAGGCTGAGCTATGATCTCCCACACACAGTTTTTGTTTAGAGGGTACAACTCTGGAAAAGATGGGGAGGTTATCGTGCCATTTGGTGTGTCGAATACCCCTCCGCAAGCATCTGGAAGAAAAGTTTTCAACAGTCAAGAAGCAAGGGTTAGTGTTTTAAATACCAAATCGGAAAGAGATGCAGCCAAACAATCAAATCTACGGAATATTCGCAGTTCCCAAAATTTTCAAAATCTTCGAATCTTCAAAATTCTCCAGTTTACAAAATCTCAGAACGCTGTGAAACCTATGAAAACTCAGATATTCCTAGAATCTGCAAGACTCTGATATGCAGAAAATCTTTTATTGTTCCGCAAACTCTCAAATCTGCTCCGAAATCTTTGAAATGACTTTTGAAATTCTGAATCCACAAAAGCTTCGAAATCTCAAAAATTTGAGATATCCGAATTTCCGGAATCTTCGAAATCTATAAAATCTCCAATACTCTTGAAATCACCAAACCTTCGAGATTCCTGAAATCTATGTAATCCCCGAAACTTTGATTTCTCCAGTTACTCTGGAATGTATTGTGAAATATTCGAAATACGAAAGCTCCGAAACCTCAAAAAATTGGGAAAAGTTCGGAACTTTGTGGAATCTCTAAATTTTCTAAGTCTCCGAACGCTCTTAAATTTATTAAATCTCTAATATTCCTGAAAGCTTCAAATCTTCGAGGTTCCTGAAATCTATGGAGTTTCCGAAATCTCTGATTTCTTCAGTGACTCCGTAATCTACAATGAACCATTGAAATACCAAATCCACAAAAGCTCCGAAAACTCCAAAATTTGGGAAATTTCCAAAATTTACAAAAACTCTGAACATCCAAAATCTCCGAAATCTATAAAACCTCTGATATTCCTAGAAATCTCCAAATATTCAATCTAAGAATTTTCTGTTTTCTCCTGAATCTACACTGAAATCTTTGAAACGCCTTCCGAAATCTCAAATCAAATTAAGATTTCATAAAAAAAATGGAATCTGTGCGGTATCTCAAAATGGAAATTCCAAAATCTTTAAGCCTTTGAAATAAGAAGGGGAATCTCCAAGAGATCTAAGAAATGTGCGGAATCTTCGAATTCTCCGTAATAACACAACTCTCTACGACTTTACAGTATCTGAGAATTCCGAAATCTCTAATTTTCTCAAAATGCCTGTGAAATTCCTAAAATAAAAAAATGGGTTTCCTAAAATATCTGAAATCTGAAGTCTCTGACACCGCCGAGATCTATGAGATCGATTCAAAATCTTCGAAATATCCAAAACATAATTGAAAATGCAGAAATGCTCCAAAAGTAGTAGTTCGCTCTGAAACATTTGAAATAGTTTATGAAATACAAAACAAAAAGAAACAATAAAAAGGTGATTAAAATATAAAATCTCCAAAATCCATGAATTCGCTGAAAAACAAATCCGCATATAAGCTGAAAAATTTACCTTCGCAATGCTTCCCATCAGAATGCAGCTCATACCCAATCCTGCAAGTACACGTATAACTCCCCAACGTATTGATACACTGTTGCTCACAACCGTGGTCAATTTTCGAGCATTCGTCATATTCTTTCATAATAGAAGCGGAAAATCCGCCTTTCTGAACTGACCCGTCAGACACAAACTTAACCAACATCTGATTGCCTGACGAAATTACATCTGGAGGAATCTTGTGGCCACAGAACACCTTCAAAATGGGGCTGTCAGGCGTCAGCCCGTCCCTGATCTCCACGTAGTCGTAAACGCAACTGTCGTGATTCTCGACGTCGAAGGACTGGAATTTCAAGGCCACTTGGTTTTCATCGGGGACGGTTATCTTCCAGATGCATTCTTTATTCGGTTGGTATTCCTCCGGGAAGTTAGGAGACTCCAGATGACCTTCGGTGTCCACGATGAGTTCTCCTCCGCAGATTGCTGAAAAAGAGTATAAGGATTTAGAAAATTCTGGAGATTACAGAAAATAAATGAAATTAGGGGAATTTATAGAAGGGAGTGTAAAGGATTTAGAGAATTTACTGAATATAGGAAATTTGGTGAATTTAGCGAATTTAGCAAATGTAGTGAATTTGGCGAATTTATGGGAATTTAGTGAATTTAGCTAATTTAGTGAATTTGGCAAATTTAGTAAATTTAGCGAATTTAGTAAATTTAGCAAATTTAGCGAACTGAGTGAATTTAGCGAATTTAGAGATATTAGAGAATTCACAGAATTTAGGATATTTATGGAATCAGCGGGATTTGGGGAATTAGTATTCTGATACTTACCTTCATAGTTGGCTGTGAATCCCCTATGTCCCTTTGGATTCTTGGCGACATACGTAATCAACATTCTACTGCCAGTAGATAGGATCGGATGGAATTGCCCGATTCCGCAGAACAAGCCTAATAAAGGAGATTTGTGCCAGTAACCGTCCCTGATTTCGATGTAGTCTGTTTTACAGTCTGGCGATTTTTCAATGTCCAGACTTGTGATGTTCAAGATTATTTTCTCTCCATGAGTTGCTGAAATTCTCCATTCACATCGGACCGGTTCTTCAGGGCTGTTGTCAAGGTAGACAGGGGACGAGAATGTGGCTGCACTTGCTTGATAGGTTCTTCCACATCCTAGAATAGATTATTTACTTTTTGAGTTAAAAATGAAAAACAAGAAATATATTAAAAAAACGGTAAATTTGTCACCAGCCAAAAAAAAAAGAGAATACAGCCTTTGCTCATCTAACCAACCGTGTATGGCGCTATTTAATATAATTAAAGAATCATCAGACCGGTACAAGTACCTTCAAAAGTATCCAACTATTACCAAATTTCGGTCACTGACACAGTTTGAAGACAAGCTAAAGGTGGGTATAGCATTATATATCAGTTCACGTCAATATCCAGGTTCTCATAGCTTTATTTATTGTGTAAACTCAGCTTAAGTATTCATGCTTTGAGATGAATAACAAGCGTATAACTGACAAAGCGTATTGAAATAACAGCCGTATTAATTCAATTTATCCCCCTAACCTACTTTTCTTTTCGGTCTGCATCTGCTTATTATTGATGTAATCACTTTTATAAGAAGAAATGTGTTATTGTCTGCGATCAACGAAAACAAATGATAAGGCCACAGAAAATAAATATAGCAAATCTAGATTTGACTTGTTCAGGTTAGATTTCGAAAAATATGTTTTCTGTATAGAGCTCTTCAAACGAAAAATATTGAGATGATGTCAGAAAAATAATTTTGTATGTTTGTTTAAGATTTATTTAGCATGACTGCTACAATTACTGCACACTACAGCTACAGCAATTACATAAAATACAAACATTCAGAAAAACACAACTTGCGTCTCTAAGAATTTTCACTGCCCATGCAATAATCCTTAAATTTTCTTTTAAAAATCCTTAAAGTACAAGTAGACTTTATATCATTATTTAATTTAGTTTATTAAATTCAAATAATCCCCTCTGAAATATTGATTTGCTAGTTATATTACTACTGCAATTTTGGAAATCAATATATAATATATATATATAATCTTGTATAATATTTTTGGTAATGATTATTCATATCTATACAATGTTCTAAATTTTGTAGCAAAATATGATTTTTTATTTTAAATTTGAAGATAAGAACCTAATATGGTACGAATTCTTTTATATTTAACCACTGTAACATAGATTTTATTTTGATGGAATTACTTTTATTCAATATTATTCTCATACCTTTATTTTGTAAGACAGCTTCATTGGCTCATTGCAGTGAGCAAGATAGTTTAAAAATATAGTAAATGGGGTAGAATAATTTTTTTGGAATATGTACTAAGACTATGAGAAGCCATATAAAAGCAATTTTTGATATAATGTAATCATAGTGATCCTCAAACCATACTAGTTTACTATCAATATATATATATATATATATATATATATATATATATATATATATATATATATATATATATATACCCAAATATTTATCTGATTCAATTTTTTCGAATTATTTCACCATTTATCCTAACTGTGATAGTATTCCACTCAAGTATTTCCCATTAGCATACATTTTGTTTTAGAAGCATTCGAATTTAGCCTATTTACATTCAACCAATTTATGATTTTTAAAGTCAAAGCTTAGCATCTTGAAAGCGTGTCTGTATTTTCATCTGATTTGTTTATTAATGTATTATCTGCAAATATCAGAATTTTACAAGAATATGAAATATCACAAATGTCATTAATGTATAAAATAAATAGTAGTGGGCCCAGTTTACTAGCTTGCAGTACACCAACAGAAATATTTTACATGGATGATATAGATCCAATTTTCTTCTGTCAAAGTAGTCTGGTAGAATTTAGATATTGGTGTATAACTCGAAGTTCTTAACTTTCGAAACAGGAGTTATTTTAGAACACTGCAATTTTGTTGGAAATTCACCATATTTCAAACAGTTATTTATCAGGATTAATATTCTTGCTCCATTAATATCTAAACATTCATTAAGACTCCTTTTTGACAAAATCACACTCTAATTCGATTTGATTTCAATTTATATATAATTTTCTTGAGATGATTAATGTTTATTCATCTATAAAGATTAAGATAAAAATTAACTGAAAAATTCCTCGCGGAAAGTCTCACACTTCGGGAAGAAATGTCAGATCGATGTAGATATAATCACTGAACTTTTTCGCCTGAGAGTGGATGTAACTTTTTTCCCTCGAATAAGATAAAGTGTCAAAATCGTTATATCACAGAATCCCCCCAGTTCCATACAATGTCGTTTGAAAATTTATCGGTCCCTATAACCTGGTGAGATGCGATTTATTGCTTGTACGATAAATTTCATTTTTTATGTAGGCGATCGGTTGTAATCGGAGACAAAAAAATCGGCTGTCATCCCCACGAGGCGATAAAATTCGTTGCAGCGGAATTAAAGCATGCGTTCGATTTTCAGTCGTAAAAACCTTCTATATGTGTTTTTATGATTCCATAATTCGTTGTAAAAGGGCGGTCCGCCATTTGAATGGATTTTACTTTACGAATGCGAGCAAGACAAAAAGATTGATTCAAACGACAAAAAAATGTAAACGGCGCGGCGTCAAGTAGATTGTGTCTGCTATTTGAATACGCAACATGTATAGTATCTGAGCTAACTTTTGCTTCTGTTATCTTCCTTATCTTGATATTTTCATTATGAAGGTCCACATTGACATAAGACGTACTGTTATTTATCTATTATACTTCAAATAAATTAAATATGAAAACAGGAGTACCTCAAGGGTCGGTACTAGGTACTTTGGCAAAACACAGATATAGATGAATTTGAGTCAAAGATTGACAGTAATATACAACAATCAAAAAATGGTGTGATAACGATTATTTAACTTTGAATGTTAACAAGACCACATTTATGACATTTAAATGCTCCGCTGATTCTATAAATTTAAAAAATGATTTGATACACAAAACAGACTCCATCAAAATTTTAGGACCGACCATTGATCATAAATTAAATGTTACTAATCATGTAGGCCAATTGCTTACTCAACCAGCAATGATTTTATTTATTATAAGAACAATTAGTTACACTGTAGAGAAAAGCAGTCTTGAGCAGTTACTTTAAATATTTGAAAGTAGACCTTCTTAATGATAGAACGTCTTTGACTGTTACTAAAGACGTTACATTAACAACCCCCTATCCCCTACAACCCCCAACCGCCAAGTTTCAACCCCTACTGAAAAATTTCCGAAAATGATCTGAAACGTCAGGTTTGAGCAATTTTTATTCGTGTTTTTGCCCCCAGTTCCGTCGCCACTGGGCCGATTTCTAAAAGCTACAAAGTTTTTTCAGCCTTGGCATATAGTAGTAACCTTGTGTTTAAAATATGAGCGATACTTCTCAAGTTATAGGCACTCATAAGATGAGCAGACAGACATACCGACAGATAGACGGACCAGCGGAAATGAGTGACATGGATTTTTGTGATATACATGCCATATGACATCCAAAAAACAATACCTCAATTTCGAAATTTTTCGCGATTACAATACTCGCCAGTTGACGTAGGAAGTAAAAACTGATGTTTTGAAAATAAAATAGATACTTACTTGGACATTTATACAACAAATTAGTCTGAGAGATGTCACCTTCGCTGAGCCGAACTCTCTGGCCAATCTCTGGTCTTTTCCTTCCTGGTACGTCGATGGGCTGGATTGTGTCCAAATAGGTACCTTTAGAAAAGGTGTTCCTCGCATAGTGCATTATAGAATCGTAGTCGTAGGTTAGGCCAAGTGAGTTCACCTCTTCCTCGTTTAGCTTGTTGAAGTTGTATTCCTGACCTAAAGGAATATAATAGAACTTTAATATGCTTCACCTGATGTAGCATTGAAATTTGAAAAAATGTAATTTCAGAATGACTAGTAGACCCAAGCACCCCATTTTCTATTCCAAAGTCAGCCTGACGACTCTTCTACTCGCCAGAAGCAAAATGAGATAAAGGAGCTTATTAGTTAAGGATTAAAAAGTATAAAACATATTTCTAATTGGAATAAATATTTTTAAATTATTGGTTCGTTCTATTAACAGTTAAACAAAAGCTTGTTTTTAAAAATGTATTTTTTGTTTTATACTTTTTTCATTTTCATGTATTTTATCAACAGGACTCCATAAAATAACTTACTTTTCTTGATAAATCGATATCTTGCGGCGACCTTGATATAGTTTTTTTTGCTTATTGCCTTTCTCTCGTCAAGCTTTTTCATTTGGTACCAATATCACAGCGGTGACCATGGACATTTAGTCATTTAGCGGCAGCTGTCATATTGACGGTGCTTGTTATGTTTCCCTCATCAAGCCCTTTAATTAGATGCATATATCATAGGGTGACTATGGAAATTATATATTGGGACGGTCGCCATATTGGATTTAGAATGAACTTCGCTTATTGTGTTTCTTTCAAGAATCCCTTTCATTTGATATCCATATCATGGGGGTGGTTAAGGAAATTATAAATCACCATTTTGCAATGGCCGCCATATTGGATTTAAAATGACTTTGCTTTGCTGATAGTACTGAACTCATCAGATCCTTTTATTTGATACTCATAATACAGGTGTTGTTATGGCTATGATACATAGTAATTTTGTAATATCCACCATATGGGATTAAAACTGGCGATACTTAATTGAATGCGTACTGTCATGTCAAATGTTAGAAACTAAATAATGAGTAAATAGCTATTTTGCGACGACAGCCATATCGGATTTAGAATGGCGTCACCTTAATTATCGTATTTCTCTCATCAAGTCCTTTCTTTTGATACCTACGTCATAGGGGTTACTATTGAAATGAAGCGTCATTTTTTAGCACCCGCCATATTGGCTTAAAATGGCAGCATTTAATTCATTTTGCAGTGACACGTAAACCAAACATATAGAAAGTTCAGCTAAATTGGTTAAGGTTAACTGGTGCAAAATTCAATTTCAAAATATGTCCCATGCTAACATACAAACACACTAACATACTAAGAAACAAACAGGTCGAGCTAAAAATTAAAAAAAAAATTGTAGGTTATCCCAATTTAAATAGAAAAAATAAAATATAAAAATTTAAGGGATTCATATAAAACTTTTTGGCCTAAATTTTAGGTTAGGAACAAGATATCGAGATGCGGTTTTCGCGAGCTTGTTTAGACATCATTTAGCTACTTTTTCATAAAAAGATCATACCAATTCATTTAATTTCTGTCGGAATGTCGGGAAAGGCCCTCTAGCGGCGACATGAGAAACTAACAAGACAATATTATAACATTTGTAGCCCAAGAATAGCTCTTTTCAACTGGCCCAAGTTTTTCAAAGTCGGCTCAGCAGTTTCGAAGATACAGGGTGTTTTTTACGGAAACATTTTACTTTTAGAGATACAGCAAAAAATGTCAAACAAAAAAGGTCTTCGAATTTAAAGATCAGGTATTTTTTTTGTTAGGTTAATGTAGCGGAATTCACAGAAACATCACTTTTTCAGATTCAAGATTGCAGTTACGCCCCCCAGCAGCTATTTCAGAAACTTGTAAATATTTTCCAGGTTTTTCTCTTGGACGTTTTAGTAATATCTTCTGTTTTTGCCGGAAGCCTCTACGATGGATTGGATCCCAGATGCAGTACCTCGCATTCTTAGTTGACCACTCTGTACATGTGATATAACATCATAATACGACCTCATTTTTAAATTTTTTCACGATTACAATAATTCCTCGCCCAGTAGCATTGGAAGTAAGATAATAAAACAAATAAAAAAATAATAATAAAAGCGTAATAATAGGAAGATGAAAAACTGCAAATATCTGGATGCAGTTGTTTTCACAGAAAGCTACTCGTATTATGGTAAAATATAATGCGGGTAGAGACATAGAGCTAGCGCGTGTGTGGCATTGCGGGCTGCAGATAGATCACACAGATAATTGAATAATGTCCGCCTGGATAAAAGTCATAATATATATGCCATTTCATAACATGTGTTGAAATGGAATGGTATACAAAACGTACGCGTATGCGGGAATATGTGGACACAATATGGTAGGATGTACTAGTGTTTTATGGTAGGCACATTAATATTGCAGTTATAGGCAGAGGCATGTCCATTAAAGGATGCAATTTTATAAACCAGAGGATTGAGAGAAAATTGGGAAGATGAATGGTCTAACATTGTTTTTAGTGACGAGTCTTGATTCTGTATGGTGTGTATTCTTCTCAGTCGAAGTAGGGATAATAAAAACTAATGGGCTGGTATGTGGAGGAGTTCAGTTTAAATTTTCTCTGTTAAATAAGGTGTCCGTTAAAATTAATGCTGGTCTCATTGCTATTACAGATTTTTAGAAAAAGCATCGTCTCAGGGTTAATCATGAAAAGAGTCCAGGTATGTTTTTTCTCCTAAACACATGCATTTATGTTTATTGTGCAATGGCGTACTTTATTTTGCAATGCCGTAGGTACTTATTTTGCAATGGCGTACTGTCACGTGAGGTTCTTAGTTATATATTGGGGCAAGTTATCTCTTTGCCAAATTTCATGTGCATAGGTCGAATAGTGTTTGTGATAAATTTCTATAAACTTGAAAAGTAATAGAAAGATTGAACCCCCTCATACCCTATCTTGAGGATATAATTTCTGAAACTTTTTCATAATTATTTCAAAGATAAAATTGCAGACAAAACATACTCTTACCTTCAGGGTCCATTCATCTGAAATATTCTAAATTCTTTACAAAAACTTAAACAGTGTCAATTCGCGCTTTATCTTCTTGGGTGGAATTTTCAAAATTTCTTTGTACAGGTATGTGCCCATTTACACTGTATTAAGTAACCGAGCATATGAAACCCATATCTGTATACATAGCTTTAAAAACAATAGTTTTTAAAATAGTAGCTCTTATACCCCTTTTTCAACCCCTTCAAGTTTTATTTTTGCAACCAAAGGTAGTCTATATCCGTCTTCAACGTCTAGTCTACATCTATGCTAAAATACATCAAAATCGGTTCAGCCGTTTTGGCGTGAAAACGGAACATACAAACATACAAACTTTCACATTTATAATATTAGTATAGGGATATTCAATACAGTGTTTTATTTTGCGAATTTGTCAGTATTCCTTTATCGGTCATTTGCAACACACACACTAGCAATTTACCCCCATGTCACGAACGTGACGATATTTCAACTTACCGCTCATGATGTTCTCTCTAATGATGTTAACGTGGTTGTCTCTATCGGGTCGCGTATGTTCGTGCCAAAAACCCACAACGTGCCCCAATTCGTGGACGATTATCCCGAATTTATCGCAGTTTTTCCCGATGCTGATCGCCTGGCCACCGTTACCACGCTTGCCTACAAAAGAACAGCACCTAAAAAGTAAAACAAGCTTATGTAAATCTAGGCATAAGGTCTGATAGTATTTTTTTGAACAATCAATGCTTCAAAATGGAAGGAAACAGAGATGTTCTTAAAAAGACTATAATAGATAGATAGACATTCATTTCCAATAGGTACAAACGCACCCAGTAACAGGAAATGCTTAAAACAAACTAATCATTTTGTTTCACATACTAGTATTTATTATATTAAAAAAACAGTTGAATAAAACAAAAAAAATATAAAAAATGGGACCCCCGATTTTTGACCCTGTAAATGAAAAGAGAGAAACATTTTACGTCCAAATACGTATATGATCATGACCATTCTTAAATTTTTACCTTATGATGTCATGGTCAAGGTCAAACTCAGGTATGGTGATATAACTTGAACGCCAGTAGTCGTATAGATTTTCCCCGGATATCAAATTGTGACCTTGAATCTGACCTTGTCTTTGACCTTCAATTCAATCATGTACATTATACATTAAATCACAGAGCTGGAGGAAAAATAAGATTTTATATTCGAATATGTCCTTAACCATTTTTAAAACTTGACCTTGGACTTGACCATCAAGGTTAAACAAGTTTCTTGATAATTCAAAAAACTATGTAATGCCCAGATAAACTAACTCCACTGTTCTTTCAGGATTGTTTCCAGGCTACAAAAATCGACTTGACCTTCTCATGACCTTGAAGGACATCATGGTTCAGGTCAGACCCCCAAGGTCACCATTGTAAATCCGGAGAAAATCACGAAAATAATGTCTCTGTGGTTTCCCGATACAACTACTTGTAGTCCCGTACCTGGATTTGACGTTGACCATGACCTCCTAGGGTCAAAATTTGAGAATAGCCAAGACCATATTTGAACGTAAAATTTGTCGCTTTTTTCATTTACAGGGTCAAAAATGAGAAGTTCCATTAAAAAAAATCGCCTTGACCTTCAAATGACTTTGAAGGTCATCGTCAAGGTCAAATTCAAGGAGACCATTGGATAGCTGGGTAAAAATTCCTATTAATCGCAGGGCTGAGCTAATCATACAATTATTAGTTCACAAACTATCGTCAGGTTTTCAGACTACATAATAATAGTTATTTTTCTAATATTTTTGTAAGAGCAATACTCCGTCCTTGCACGGTTGGTACACCCTGTAGATTCCAACGCCACGGGTGCTTTTAGACATAAATGTAGTGTTTTATTCAAATGTGGTTTAGGTACCTTATCCCAAGCTCTTCATATGTCCACGTGTTTTTTGTGTTTTTTCAATCTGTGGAACAATTTCCATATTTTTCGAACTACATCTACTACAACTACTGTCTCTATTCCTTACCCGCACGGTCTCTCCGTAAAAATGATGAAATTCTGGTGCTCGTCCCTGTTCCTCTCTACGAATTTAACACAAGTGAAGTTCTCCCAATGCCTCATAGCCTGCTTGAACAATGCCTTATGCATTCCGCTAAAATTTCCGTCAATCTCGTATGGGATAACCCCGTAGTCCCAAACTCGCTCCTTACGGGCTGTGGCAGCACGGGTCACCCTGCGGTGTTGTGCCAAGTCCGGTCCTGGACTAGGCGGAGAAGGTTGCGGAATTTTTTTGCGACTCAGGGCTAGGTGGGGAGGTAAGTCTGGGATGAGTTGAGAGACTCGGAGGGTTGGTGGTGTAGTTTTATTATTTCTGGAAGAAAAAAAATGGCGTCAATTAGATTGACTTTATACTTCCTACGCCTTCGTTGGAGGTTTCAAAGAAAAGGAATGAGTCAAATCGTTTCAGAAGGCGAAATCGATTCGTGATTAGATAGGTTCACTTAGATACGCTGAATCTACGACCTTTGCATCAAACTATATCAATAAACCAAATCTATCATATTTCTGTTTCCATGGCAGATGTAGGGAAAATATGCGTGACTTATGTCCGCCTCCTCTGAATCAATTTTGAAAATCTACGACTACCTAAATGATGGAAGTATTAAACTCGCAATAATATTAGAACTTCGGTTCACAAGTGTTCTGTTGCTTAAATATATCTGCATCACACGTGTTTCTCATTTATGTCGGTTTGTCAGTCGGTGTCTTTTGTATATCAATGCCTCATAAGTACTTAGTCAATCTACTTGACGGATTATTCAGAGAACCGTCATAGACGGAGTAAGACAAATTAAAGCTGAGACGAAATGGATGGCATTTTTATCGATCATTAAATTCATAAAAATATGTGTAGATATAAAAAACAGTTAAGTCATCATTTACAAAAGCACCGCAGAACGCTGGAGTGATACGTACTCCTAATATCCAAATATTGCTAAAATATACGAGCCCCTTCCCACTTCAGTTGGCCCAACTAATGAAATCTTAGTTTTTTTCTTATCAAACACAAATAATAAAAATGTAGCAGGGTGTTATAGGTTTAAAATATTAACAATGAATATTTTGATATATACATATAGTAGAAAACACCAACTTTATCACTCCCTAATCAAATTTGCAGCATAAAAATAACACATGTTGCAATTACAGCATATCAATCTATTTTCATTTCAATGCAAAATAAGTCTATAACGCATAGGTGGCTGTGAAAAATAAAAGCCATGACAATTGTTTTTATTAATCACAGCTGTCAGAATACGTTTAAAATAGTTTTGGGTAGTTAAGGTTTTCAAAATGGGTAGAGGAAAGGTCATTAGTGAGAAAATTCGGTTACTGATAATTAAATTTTTTAATTCTGGGAAATCAAAATTGTAACTTTGTTAGACTTATCGCTGTACAGTGAGAGAAATATTGTTAGAAGATATAACGTAACTGGTTCAGTCAATATTAAGCCACGATATGTGAAGCCACTATTAACTCCACTGCAAAAGAAAAATCGGCTTAGATGGGCTAAAGAACCTAGACAATGGACACCTCAACAATGGTGTGCAATACAATGGAGTGATGAGGCCCGATTCGAAGTTTGTGTTGGTGACAGTCGCAGTAGAGTTGTTCGCAAAAAAATGAAGCATTCCATGTTGACTGTCTGAAGAGAAAAGTGAAATTTCCAGCACCCATTATGGTCTGGGGCAGTATGTCATCAAAAGGAGTAGGAAAACTTCATTTTATTGATGGAAATGTGGATACAAACAAATATTTGGCAATTTTACAAGAATCGCTTTTACCAGTGATGAAACATGTTTGACATACGGCCAAGATTTTGTGTTTCAGCAAGATGGTGCAGCGTGCCATATCTCAAAAAAGGCTATAAAATGGATGGAATAAAATAATGTACCACTTTTGAAATGGGTTTCTATCAGTCCAGATCTGTCACCTATTGGAACTTTGTGGCACGAGATGAAAAAGGTTCTACGACAACATCCTGCTCGTACAATCACCGAACTGAGACAAAAGCTTCAAGAAATATGGGATTGTTTTACACCAAATTTTTGCCAAAACTTGGTTAACACTATGCCCCAAAGAATTTCAGCCGTAATAAAAAGTAAAATTGTTGCTTTGTTAACTTCGCGCATTTATCCGCACATTGTTTATTTGTTCAGATGTTCTATTAGTTATAGGTCTAAGTGATTTCAAATATGTATTTTTTACGACTAGAGTGTATCTAAAATGTTTTTGAGAAAATAAATTGTTTTAGAAGTAAATAGTTTCGTCATGTTTAGTTTATAAAGGCATGTTTTGGAACAAATCTTGAAGTGGGCCAACTGAAGTGAGAAGGGGCTCGTATAAATATTTTTCCTGTAGCGGTGTGTCAGTGACGACACCACCACAGACCAGTTTTACTTCGTTACGCATTGCACAGCCTCCACCACGATGCATCATCGCGCCGTGAGCGCAACGTCAACGATTACAAAGTTATTTCGATTTACGAGCTCATTATACATCATTTAAATTTCCCGTTGTTACCGAGATCAGAAGCTTCTTAATGATAGAATGTCTTTGACTAATACTGAAGACGTTACATTCACAATCCCCTACCCCAGCCACCAAATTACAACCCCTAAAAGTTTGTCCGAAACGTCAAAAAACGAAGCTTAAGCCATTTTTATTTATTTTTCTTATTTTTGCCCCTAGCTCCGCTACCACTAGCCGATTGTCAAAAGCTACAAAGCTTTTTCATCCCTAGCATACTAGTAACCTTGTGCAAAAATTTCATCAAAATCCGAGCTGTACTTCACAATAGTCTAATCATGTTAGCAAATTTCCCCGAACTAATTGCAAAGTCCGGTTTTATTAATGCAAGTTGATCAAGGGGGTATTTAAAGCATGGAAGCTTAAAACGGGTACACCGATTTTTGTGGGAAAACTTTTTATTCGACAGACTTTACAATTATTTCGCAAAGCAGGGGTATTTTCACCTAATATGATTAGACTACAAGTTATAGGCGATTATAGAATTAGCAGGCAGTCCAACAGACCGACCGACAGACAGTCAGACAGCCAGATCGACGGAAATTAGTGACATGGTGGTGAATGTCATATAATATCAAAAAAAATATCTCATTTTACATAATTTTCGTGATTACAATACTTCCTCGCCAGTTGTGGCATAGGTAGTAAAAATTGAGGTAACAATGATTAGATAAGAGCCATTGTCGATTTTATTAAATGTTTCACATTGTGCTTCTCATATAACGCTAACACCAGTTCATAGGTACAACAGAATCAAATGGATCAAGTCAGTCAAGTAGGCCCATACAATTAGTCCCAAGTTACTATGTGTGAAACGCCAGCGCAGCGGCAGCGGCGAACTTGCAGCAAGTTGCATGAATGATAGGAATAAATGAAAATAGAAGAATACCAGCCACCACGAGAAGCCGGTACATAGGTCACGTGAAGAGCCCTCTTCCACCACTAAATAGTGGTACTAGGCAGTCTGATAAGTACCTGAAAATTCTAAGAGATGGCATTAGTATTCACTAATGCGAACCATTTTTGTCGAGCCTGATCCTTCAAATGACACCTGTCAAAACTTCAGCCATTCATGTTTACACATTTACAAGTTACAGCACTGAGAAGCGACTAACCTCAGAGTTTTTTTTAATATGGAAAAATCCGAGTTTCGAGTTTTGATCAAACACTACTATCTACGCAAGAAAACGATATCCGAGACCAAGGCCAAGCTGGATAAGTATTACCCGGACTCTGCACCGTCGATTGGAACGATTCATAAGTGGTTTACGGAGTTTCGTTGTGGCCGTACAAGCACAGTTGATGCTGAACGATCTGGGCGCCCAAAAGAGGTCACTACACCAGAAAACGTCGAAAAAATCCATGATATGATGTTGAATGATCCCAAAGTGAAATTGAGAGAGGTAGCTAATGCTGTAGGCATGTCATTGGAACGCGTAGGCAATATCGTCCATTCAGTTTTGGGCATGAAGAAGCTCTGCGCGCGATGGGTGCCGCGTTTGCTCACAGTGGACCAAAAACGAATTCGTGTGACGACTTCCCAGCAGAATTTGGCATTATTTTCGCGTAAGCCGACCGAGTTTCTGCGACGATTTGTAACCATGGATGAAACCTGGATCCATTACTACACTCCTGAGTCAACGCAACAGGCAAAACAGTGGGTTCCACCGGGCCGAAGTGCTCCGAAGCGTCCAAAAACGCAACAATGGGCCGGAAAGGTTATGGCCTCCGTATTTTGGGATGCTCATGGCATAATATTCGTGGACTATCTTGGAAAAGGTAAAACCATAACCGGAGCATATTATTCATCATTATTGGACCGATTGAAAATCGAAATCGCCGAAAAACGACCGCATTTGAAGAAGAAAAAACCGCTTTATCATCACGACAATGCGCCTGTTCATTCATGCTTAGTTGCACAAGCAAAATTGCACGAAATCGGCTTCGAATTGGTTCCTCAGCCACCGTATTCACCAGACCTGGCCCCCAGCGACTATTACTTATTCCCTAACCTGAAGAGATGGCTCATCGGTAAGCGTTTTTACTCAAATGAGGAGCTCATAGCTGAAACTGAAGCGTATTTTGGAGACCTTCCGATCGAGTACTTTTCGGACGGTATCAAAAAGTTAGAAAATCGTTGAATTCGCTGTATCGACCTAAAAGGAGAGTATGTTGAAAAATAAACCCGACTTTGGCCAAAAAAACGTCTCCGTGTTTCATTTTTCAGGGACTTATCAGACTGCCTAGTATATCTACCTAGAGGCAGTGAGGGCCTAGTTCTAGACCCTGGCGCCAGAGCCCTCTTCAGTAATCGAGCCTTCCGTGTACCAGACTTTCTTCAGACCTTCCTACTTCCGAAATGTCACTCCCCCTGCGTCCGATACTCCACATTGAACTAGCGGTTACAGCGATACTTTGGGGTGATCAAATGATCCCTGCTCAAGGACAGGATCCCCCTTTGAAGTTCGACTAAGATGGCTGTGTAACCTTGATAGGATTCATAAAAACCAAGCTGTCCTGCCGCCACATTCGATGTGCGACCACTCTCGCCTCTCCGCGGATCACTAGATCCAACGATAAGAGATCCAGAAGAAAAGAGATTCCACTGCACTTAATGGTGTTATCCACACTGCGCTTGTAATACTGATACAAGCCAAACGCTGAATTTTTTGAACTTGGCTTTAGTTATCTCGGTTCCAATGCAAGGCCACCACACAAAGGAGCCATACAAAAGAGACGGAGGTACTATCGCCGTGTAGAGCCAGTGCACCTCTTTGGGTTTAAGCTCCCGTTTCACAATGAATTGCGAGCCTTGTTAACCTTGTTCTCTACATGCTCTTTCCATTTCAGTTTACAGTCCAAGATGATTCCTAGATATTTCGTAACAGGCTTATCTCCTATTTTCTCTGCGCTCGACGCTGATATTAAAGCTATTTCTACGATTTTCAAGAACTACAAAGCAATGCAAACACTCTATTAAATTCTTACCTACTCTTGTCCTTCCTACGATTCTCATGCCTCTTCTTCCGTCTATGCCTCATCTTCAACCCATCCTTAGTCACATTCTTTCTCCCCAAACTTCCACCCAGATGTCTCCCAGATCTCGACCTTTTCGGCTTATTCCCCCCGCTCTTAACCTCCACAGTTTTGAGCATTTGTCCGTTTTTGTAAATCTTCCTTTCCAGGGGGCCCTCGTGACTGTCCTGGGGGTCCGTGAACCCGTCAAAGGGGTCATTGTAGCTTTTAGGAGTCACTGCGGGGTCGTGTTGCTTGGACTTCTTACGGATGTAGTCTGTCAGTCCTTCTTCTTCCACTTGTAGGCCTTCGAGGACGTCTTGTTTGTATCTTTCGACTTCTTCTTGGAGGACGGACTTTGGTTTTGGTTTGGGGTTCGCAGGACTGGGGTCCAAGATGGCTATGTCTCCTAAGAATCCGTCTGTAATAAAAAAAACAGGGGGTTAAGAGAGTATTTTCAGCAAACTGCTTTAAATCTACTAACAAGATAGTTCTAAGGACCTAAAAGTCGGGGTCAAAGTTGAAAAACTTGCGAAAAATGGCGTCAAGTAGGTTGGCTCTGTACTTGTCACCTTATTCTGTCGTCAATAATTTTATTTTATACATATTTTTAGTTTGACATTTTGCTTTGTAACTTCACCTGATTTTAGTACGCTTACATGCAAGTGTTCGGAACCTACTTTATTTATACTTCGTTCGTTTGTGTATTTGTCCGTATTTGTTTTTGCTTTTATCCATTGAATTCTATGGAGTCTTCGATCGGAATATGAGCTTCAAGTTTCAACTTTTTATCACCGCAGCTGACTGTTTTTCATGTTCCTTACCGTTTTATTCTTCTATAAGTATTTTCGATATTGAGGTTTGTTTTCTGGACGTACCTCATGCAAAAACTATAAGGCTCCTGATCATTTTCGGAAAAACTTTTGTAGCGGCTGAAACTTGGGAGGCTTGTAGGGAGCATGGGGTTGTGCGCGTAACGGAAAAAACATTATGAAAGTCCGATGTATTATGCATACTCGTAATGCATGTTCGAAATAACTTGGGAATCGGCGTTGCGAGCACGGCGCGATGCTGCATCGTCGCGGAGGCCACTGCCGACTGTGCAATCGGCAACAGACTCAAGCGCGAGAAGTGTGTATCAGCACATGTTAAAGAGAGATAGAAGGCGGCTGAAAAGCGAAGGTCATCACCACATTGCCTACCACCTGCAATGGTACACTGACACACCGCTACAGGAGGAATAGTTATATATTTTAGAAATATTTGGACATTAGGAGTACTTACCACTTTATCGTTCTGTTATGTTTTTATAAATGACGACTGAACTGTTTTTATGTCTACACATATTTTTCTCTGAATTTTTTGATCTGTAAATGTACCACCCTTCTCTAATTTGTGTTAATCAGTCTACGATGGTTCTCTCAATATTTCGACAATACACTGACTCAGTACTTATGACGGATTGATATACAAAACAAAGATGGAATGACAGACATAAATGAGAAACACGACTTGTGTCATACAGGTTAGATATTTGATTTCCTGAAAATTATTAATTTTCGACTGAGATGTTAAGCACCGAAAACCGTTTTTTAACACCTTTATCGCTAAAAACTTGAAAACGGTTAATCTTAGGGAAGTGGTACTACCAACCTTCTTTGTTCCGAATGATCAATAAAACATAAAAAACCTTACCCGAAGTGAAATAAACACTTTTTTGTTGTTTGTTTATAAATTGTTCAAACATATCTGCACCGGGTTATTGCCCTCTTGACTTATGACTGTTGTTGAAGTCAAATTCAACTTCTTTTATTTTCTTGCTGATGTTATAAAATATATAGGAATGGTCAATGGGCCATGGCAAAGGCTTGTTCCGGAAGTTGTTGTATCCAGTATACAACTTCTTCCCGTCCAAGTGATTGTACACGCGTTAAGGAATACCTCAGTACCGATTGCCGGGTGGCGGTACAAGTCCGCCAACGGGCCACTTTAGGTCTATTTAATATCACTAACACGTAAACAGAAGGTGGTAGACAAGGACCAGTCGACCGAGGCGGTACCACCCGCTAGCTTTTCTCAGGGTGTCTTATAAATGTCCGCATGTTTCCACACCTAAGCTATGCAGTCGGTTATTTTAGCCAAAACAAAGAAATTGATGATGATGGATCCCTCGAGCACTAAGAACTCCGGACGTAAACTCACTCCACTCTCGGAATGTCCGGGTGTTTTTCGAACATCTGCGGGATTAACAGCAACATTGATGCTGTTCATCACTACCTGCAATCCAGTCGTCCCGCCGTGCTTTTCTTGGCGGAGACAAAATTATCAGAGACTGCACCGATTAACCATGTCAACTTCCTAAACTACGAGGTGCACTCCAATCTGAGAAAGAACGGGGGAGTTGTGGCTTTTGTCCGCAGCAGTCTTTCCTGCTCCAGGGATCTTTCTTTGGAATCAGACCGGAAGGACATTCTGTGGCTTCGCCTCAAGTCCAAAACATCACCCAAATTTATTTGCTGCCTTTATCGCTCTCCCTCGAACCATAACTGGGATGACCTACTCGAATACCTCGCCGTCCAGATCGACTTCCTGAACATCAATCACCCCGCTTTAGAAGTAGTTCTTCTCGGTGATTTCAATGCCCATAATGAGCTTTGGTTGGGCTCAAATAAGATCGATGCAGCAGGTCGTGCAGTCGAAGCGTTTGCTCTTACTCAAGGGCTGACCCAGCTGGTGACGAGCCCTACTTTTTTCCCTCGCGTCTCGTCACACGCCAGTAGCCTGCTGGATCTCTTTCTGACCACGCATCCTGTCCCTTACAGCACTGCTGTCCTGTCCCCCTGGGCAACTCAGACCACGGTGTTGTGGAGGTTAGCTTTCGGTCAGAAGCCGCTGTGGCAGCAGAAACTCGTACAGGCCGCAAAACTTGGCATTACGGACATGCCGACTGGGAGGGGCTCAGAGACTTCTTCTCTAGCTTTCCTTGGAGAGATGTCTGTTTCACTGACGCGGATGCGTCGACTGTCTGTTCTTCGATAACCGAAATTATCCACGTCGGAATGGAGGAATACATCCCTCACACAGTGAAAGTTCCTAAACCAGGGTCCAACGGCTGGTTTAACAAATCGTGTGACACTGCTCGCCAGCAGAAGATCAAGGCACACAGAACCTACTTACAAACTGTAGAGAACAGACAAGCCGACGTCGAGTCCAGGAACAAATATAACGAAGCGGTTCGCAATGCCAAAAACCAGCACGATATAAAAGTTAGGCACAGGGTAATGTCACAGCGCAATGGCAGTCGGTCTTTCTGGACGCTGGCCAAGCAGATTGAAAAGAACTTCTCACACAGTAGCCTTCCACCACTTACGTGTCAGGATGGAACTATTGTATTTGACTCAAAGGGCAAGGCGGAAGTGCTAGCCAAGATCTTTGCTGCCAACTCCACCATGGACGTCCCTACCAACGCCCAAATGCCGTCAATTCAAAGGGTTCCCCACATTATGCGGGAGGTAACATTCAGCCATATGACCGTAAGACGAGTGCTCTTGTCGCTCGACTTCAACAATGCTTCTGGTCCGGACTTGATTCCTGCCATTGTACTGAAGAGATGTGCAGCGGAGCTTGCTCCAGTTCTTTCGCGTCTCTTCCAGATATCTTATGAATCCGGCACCTTCCCAGAAAACTGGAAATTTGCTCATGTCCAGCCCATCCCAAAACAAGGATCTAAGACCGACCCTTACAACTACAGGCCTATAGCTCTGCTTTCTGTTATAAGTAAAGTGATGGAGAGGTGCATAAATCGCGAGCTTCTGGACTACCTCGAACGTCACAGCTTGATCAGCGACAGGCAGTACGGTTTCCGGCACCAACGATCCACAGGGGACCTCCTAGCTTACGTCACGCAATTGTGGAGTAAACTCATCCAGTCTCATGGTGAGGCTCATGTCGTTGCTCTTGACATCACGAAAGCGTTCGATCAGCAGTGGCACGCTGCCCTCTTAAGCAAACTTCCATCCTATGGCCTCCCAGAAAAGCTTTGCAGATGGGTGGCTGACTTTATCTCTGGCCGCAAGATATCCGTCGTAATTGACGGATTCTCCTCTTCATCCCACAACGTCAACGCGGGTGTTCCCCAGGGATCGGTCTTGGCTCCAACACTGTTTCTCTTACATATCAACGGCCTCCTTTCCTGCACGATCAACCCAATTCACAGCTTCGCTGATGACAGCACTCTACATGCAGGAATTCAGAGTGACAAGCCGATCTCTGCCGCTGAGCTGCAAAAAGAAGACTAGCGACAACTTCTTCTCTGACAAGAGACCTGGAGGCTACCACTGCTTGGGGACGCAACAATCTTGTACAGTTCAATGCTTCCAAAACACAGTACTGTACTTTGACGAGCAAAAAGCGTCCTAGCGCTCATACAATTTCGATGGACGGCCGAGTTCTACCAAAGAGTCATTCATTTCGGCTAGTCGGAGTCCAGATCATCGAGGACCTGATCTGGCACGAACACATCTCGTCAATAGCTGCAGCTGCTGGGAAAAAGCTAGGCTATTTGTTTAGGGCTAAGAAGTACTTTTCTCCGCATGACCTTCTCACTCTATAGAAGGCCCAGATAAGGCCTAGTCTCGAGTATTGCTCACACATTTGGGGTGCTGCCGCCCCGACTACATTGTCCATGCTCGATGCTGTCCAGAGGAGGGCTGTATGACTGATCGATAACTCTTCTCTAACGGACAGTCTCGGGACCCTTTCGCACCGGCGGGTTGTCGGCGATGTAGCTCTTTTCTATCGCTACATCAACGGGCTATGCTCCTCAGAACTCGATTCCATAATGCCGCTGCGCGATGTGCCTGCCAGACAGACCCGCCTGACTTCGGCGTCCCATCCTAACCGTGTCAAACTTCGTACATCCAGAACTGGCCGATACGACCGCTCCTTTGTGCCGAGGGTGTCTAGATTGTGGAACAATCTACAAGAGGAAGCTTTTCCCAGTTCTACTAACATTAGGCAGTTCAAAAATCGTATTAACAAAATTTCTTTGGGATCATCATAGCAGCCGCGGTGTTCCGCCTGCGCGGCTGTTTCGATATAAAAAAAACAAAATAGTAAAACAAGACATGACAGTAGAACAAATTTTACAGATATAAAACATTACAAATGTCTACCAGAGAAGAACTCTTCAATAGTATAAGAACACTGATCAATCAGACGCCTTCTCAGATTTTGTTTAGAGGTGAAGTCCTCTTGCTTGTGACTTTAGCTTATGCATATAAAATGTTTATTCTCAAGTAAGGTGGTGAAATTTGACTGCATTTCTAGGTAAAAATAGGTGAATTTACCTGAAACTTTATCCTGGTATTGTGCGTGAGAATGTCTCTGTTTACATATACTATACTTAATTCGGAAATACATAAATGACTTTATTTCTAGTATACACAAAGAAGTCAATGTGAGTAATTCAAAAATGTTTAACAATACTCTATTGGAGTGGTGGTTACTTACATTTGCTGAACTCTTTACTATCTTTTTTGAGGTACAAACACTTCATAAGCTTGGGATAAGCTACCCTACAAGCACTGTGCGATCTCATTAACATATTAGAGGAAGAGAATCGGTTCTGTGGCACATCGGTCTGAATTGGCATGACTTCGGAGCTGATAATAGAATACATGTCGTCGGATTCAAAACTGATACATACATATTGCTTTCTGTTTTCAAGGAAAGAAGCTATCCATTTTTGGGCAATTCCTCTTATAACATAATATTCTAATATTCTATGTATGTTCAAGAAGCATCCAGCAACCTCGCCGACAAAAAAATATTGAGTTGAAAAATTTCTCGCACGAATCCGAGGTATCTAAATGTTGTTTCTGGATGAAATTTTGTTGGCAACTTCACCACATTTTTAAACACGAGAATCTTATTTCTGTTTCGATGTCAAATATAAATATGGAAAATATGTACATATATTATGCTTACCGGGTACGTATTATTACCGGTGACAAAAAATTATTAATAAAAGAACGTCTATCACTGATACCAAAGTTGCAACTTCTTTTGCGATTCTTCCAGATATCTTACAGATCCGGCACCTTCCTAGAAAACTGCTCATGTTCAACCATCTCAAAAAAAGTATCTAAGACCGACCCTTACAACTACATGCCTATAGCTCTGTTTCTGTTTTCTTTCGATCAATCCAACTCACAGCTTTGCTGATGACAGCGCTCAACACGAAGGAATTCAGAGTGGCAAGCCGAACTGCCGATGACCTGAAGAAAAGGAGACTAGCAGCGACTTCCTCTCTGACGAGAGACCTGAAGGTTATCACTGCTTCGGTACACAACAATCCTGTATCCTTCCAAAACAAAGTAGGTACTGTACCCTGACTAACAAAACGCGTCCTAGCGCTCATCCGGTTTCGATAGATGGCCGAGTTCTACCA